TGTCACTGCCAAACCTAAGACTGAGACCACCACGTCCACTACGTCGACAGAGAGCGCACCACCTGCTTCATCCCAAGCATCAGATGTCCCTGTTCATGAAGAATTGTGATGGATGATCTTTAAGCCTCTCCAATGCCCTTTTTGATGGTCCGCATTGTTTATTTAGCTATTTACTCATTCATGAGGAATGGATCCCTGTGATATGATAGAACCTGTTGTACTTCTTACATTGATGTTGGTACTGTTTTAATACTGAGCATGGTTTAAGTGGGTTGTCATTAACCCTTTGTTTATTATTGTGTCTCTATTTCAAGGCTGAGATGAAGTATGGGCTAAGCTCTTATAGGTGAGCTATTGTGTGATTGTGAGCCATTTCTTTGGGCTTAGTTTTATGATTTTCGGAGTCCCAGCAAGTACTTTCTTTCAAAAGGAAAACATGTGCCTCTGTTTGCATTTGGATATAACGAGTTTCTGTATCTTGTGTTTTCAATTGAGAACTTTTCTGGCCCTGTTGCAAGTATTGTCAAATGCATTGGCAGCTGCAGAAAAGAATTGGAATACCAGCTTACAATCGCAATATGAGGCTATGGAACCACAAGAACATAATAAGATATGATAACTAAGAAAATCAGCAAGATGCGTGCAGGACACAAGATATAAAGCATATGGACTTTCTTTTTTAGGAGTTTCACCAGGAGTATCAACTCTATCGTTGGGAATTGGACCTTACACATACACAAAATTCATCATCCATCAATCCATTATACTGACATTTGTATGTCATTGAGTGGGCGGACAACTAAGTTATTTGTTTGGAGGTAGTCTTTAACCTCGGAAACAGCATAGGATCCACGATGAAACTAGTCAATGTTAGCGGGTTCTACAAGAACACGACTAGATAAACCTGCACATACCATGCCAGCTCCAAGTGCAGCATCAGCTTCAGTTTGTTCAAACACCTCTTTGAAATGAGCCGGGTTACCTGCACCACTAGATGCAATTATTGGTATCGTAGAGAAAGATTTGACGTCCTTGATTAATTCGAGATCAAATCCAGTACCAGCGCCATCTTTGTCGATGCAATTCAGTAATATTTCCCCAGCACCCATGTCTTCAACAGCTTCGATCAACTGCCGCACGTCGATATCTCTCCCTTCCCTACCCCCTTTAATTGTACATTGGTACCAGCAGTATCGGTTTCCGTCTTTGTCCGGGTATTCTGTCCAGATCGTATGGTGCTCAGTATCGCCCGGACTTCGGACGTATACCCGTCTAGGGTCCACACTAACCACCACAGCTTGGTTGCCGTAAGTAGTCGATATCGACTCAATTGTTGTAGTGCCAGAAAGGTGTTTGCCAGACGCGTAGTATTGCTCAGCGGCAATCACCGCATCTGAGCCAATGCTAACCTTGTCCGCGCCTGACTTGAAATACATTGTTGCAACGTCCAGTGCAGAGACATGGGTGCCATCAGTGTCAATAGTGTCTCTAATCCCGCCGCCAATGGTTAATGGGACGAAAACCGTTTCGGCTGTCTGACGAAGAACTTCAAGCATCGGTGTATCGACTAATGGGCAGTTTCGGAAGGACGTGATGTTCAAAAAAACGATCTCATCGGCACCCTGTTGGTAATATCGCCTTGCCATATCAACCGGTTTACCAAGATTCCTGACCTTGCCACGCTTATCATCTGCATTCTTCTCGCGCACATCGTACTTATCTCCTTTTGTAACAACCAGGTCCCCTTCGTCGTTGGCTCGAACGTCTAGGCAAGCAATTATCCGCCGTGTAAGACCTTCCGTGCATGGGGCCACTGGTGAAGGTTCAATGGAGCTTCTATTTCCTGTCAGGAAAGCTTGCAGAGTGCGCAACCCAGCCGGTCCACTTTTTTCCGGGTGAAATTGAGTAGCGAAAACATTCCCTCGACAGATAGCGCCGACAAAGGTCTCTTCTCCATATGTTGCTGTGGCTAGATCCCATTCGTTGTTGTGAAACATGCCATTTTGGTAAGGGATAGCATATGAGTGCACATAATAGTATTTGCTTTCTGGACTCAAGCCGTAAAATGTCTGTGATTTTGCTTGACCAACACTTTCGCATTTTGCTGAATTCCAGCCAATATGGGGGACACTTTTACAGGACGAATTGAACCGTGTCAAAGTGGCTGGAAATAAGCCCAGCCCTTTGATACCGGGAGCTTCAGCGGAGCCTTGACATAGAACCTGGAGGCCGACACAAATTCCCATAAACGGTTTTCCAGACCGTATGTGTTCGCTGATGGGTTCAAGGAACCCCCCATTCGAAAGCTGGGTCACGCAATGGCCGAAATGTCCGACGCCAGGTAATATCAGTTTCTGGAGTGAGCGCCGGGTGTCAGCTTAAAGCGCAATCATTTGGGTTGCAGAAATACTGACTTCGGCGTTTTTCACATCTTGAGGGGACTTGACCCATTCAACTTCATATCCTAATTTTTCCACGGCATTGACCAGTGAGCGGACGTTCCCAGCTACATAATCAAGCAGGTGAACCTTCGGCATTTCTCTATTTGATCGGTCGAATTGTTGAACATAGAGAAGAGGTAAATCAGGCTCTAAAGTTGGGCTGAAGTTGACTCAAGAGTTGGACCATGCGAAGGTGCTCAAGACTCCCATATTATTGTCATTCCTTTGGGAGCCCCTCACTCTTCTGACTCACCCACTGAAAAGTTTAGCAATTTCATTCTTGGGAGACCTTCGGTAGTTACATCATCATATGGAAAAATTTGTAGCTAACAACACCCATACTAGGTAGCGAGTTTGTCAGTGGGAAACTCATGATACTGCTGCTGGCCAAGTCACTCCTCGGGTGACCGATTATTAACTTGTTACTCTACCACTGAAGCTGACTGGTTTGTGACTGTGAACTGCGGCCCAATAACTAGTGGGACCCAACAAGGGAGGTCAGCCCAGCTCTTAACGCCCCTCAATGGGTTATGCACTCCATACTATTCCTTATCACCAGCAAGCGATATTGAACTTCCTGGCTTCTTTGAGATTTTGCTCCTTTATTTATGCTGCTGGAAATAAGCTGAAGTTGTTTCTTTCAACATGCTGGTTGGTTTATGCGGAGGTCAATGCGGATTTCTGTTTACACTGAATTCCTACCAGGATGGCAACTGACATCTATAATAGGCATTTGTGCAGGGAAACATTCTGTTGCAAAATACCTGATTCAAAGGCATGGCTTTAAAATTCTTCAGCTGGCGACGGAGCCTCGACAGTCTGCACATTTTGGAGCAGCGGACGACCAGCTTCCTCAGATCAATGACTTGACAGAAACTCCCGCCGAAGTGTTTCAGACTATTGAAGACCTAGACCAGTTTGTTACAGCACGATGGCAGGAATACTGGGTAATCCCAGAGCTATCAATAGATGGCCTCCTTGAGAAGCTTCTTCTGCGCCCCTTTTTTTTGCTTGTTAGCATTGATGCTCCCGTTACCGTTCGTTGGCGTCGGTTCACAGATAGGTTTAACTTCTGGGAAATTCCTGTTCTGAAATAACTAAGATATTGATATGTATTTAGATGCTGGAGAAAGCAATTGGAAACCGCCAGACCTTGAAAAAGTTCGTTCTTTTAAACGATCAGCGACAATATCAGCAAAAAAGCGGAGTCGTTTATCTGGAGGACCAGGCTCATGTCCGCTTATTCAACGCGTCGTCATCATTACATGATTTACACACTGCGTTAGACTCGCTGAACTTGCTGAACGACCAACGGCTTCGGCCTAGTTGGGACCAATATTTCATGCAGCTTGCCTCTTTGGCGGCCCAGAGAAGCAACTGCATGAAACGTCGTGTTGGTTGTGTTATAGTTAAAGACAGGCGAGTCATGAGCACTGGCTACAATGGCACCCCAAGACATACGAGAAACTGCAACGAGGGCGGATGTGAGTCATGAATTTTGCCCAGCCATATATGTCAGTATTCTCAAATTTGCCAGGTCCACGATGCAACCTTGGCCAAGGGACAGGATCGGCATTGTCCACTTGCCTCTGTCTACACGCAGAAGAGAACGCTCTGTTAGAAGCCGGACGAGAAAGAATAGGCGACAATAGCATTCTATATTGCAATACGTGTGTAGCGTTCTGTCCTTTCAAGCCGCGATAGCACTTAACACTAAAATGTTGAATAGATGCCCTTGCCTGACGTGCAGTGTGAAAATAGCTCAGTTGGGCATCTCCGAAGTGGTGTATTCTCAAGGT